TGGGGTGACCCAGTGATCTGAATGTGTTTCCATAGGAGAGTAAGGATAGCATTTCTTCTTGAAAACTTTAAAAGTCTGATCTCTGTTCTTTCTATTTTTTAACTTCTACCTTCACAGAAAGAGTCCGTTCGTACTCTGAAGACAGGAGGTAGTGGAAACAAGTTGAAGTTAAGACAGTAATCTATGATGAGGTGCAGTTTGAAAGAGATCCCCAGTTCAGGAAGTTATTTGCTTTAGATATGCAGAAAATTTGCCCAACACAGAACTGTGGGATTTGTTGTCAATGAAAGAAAAAAAAGCAGCTCCTTATATTGTTCTCAAGTTTTTATACACTGTTCTTAAAATATTCTGCACTCAAGGTAGCACCCCCTTTGTAAGGGCCATTCATCAGAAGTAACAACTCGTGTAGCAGAATTTTCTGGAATAAAACTGCTGGAAGAGGCTGCAAGAAGAAAAGGGTACAGAGACAATTACTGACACCTTCATAAGCTTTTCACTGTTACAGTATGTGATATAACATTGCAGAAATGTGTGCTGTGTAACCAAGCATGAGCACTGTGCTTACAGATTCAGTTGTTAATCAACATGTGTTGGTACATCCCTGAATAACACTTTTCTTTCTTTTTATCATAAAACCCTTATCTTCAACTTTCAGGTAAAAAGTACCATTGAATGGAATTCTTCACTGCTGACTACATTATCTAGGAGGAAGAAATTCAGCCTATGTTTTAGCTTATGGTTTTTTTGTTTGCCTGCTTTGTTTATTATGCCTGATTCACTGTTCGTTTGTGTTCAGATGTGAAGGTTACTGGCCCCTCTGAGTAGAACTGGTATAAAATATAGTAAGATAAGATGATTCTACATAACCAGTGTTGATAATTATTTTGCAGAGTGCTATATTCCAGAAGTAAAGATTTGAAACAAATGAAAATGTTTGAGCTGTCTATGATTATACTGTCTGCCTAAACTAATGTAGTTTAAGTTATTTAAAACAGACCAGAAGTGCTGTAGCTTGCTTTTTTTTTTTTTTTTTTTTTTTCTCTTTTCTCCTGATGTTACTTATGTTTCACTGTCCATGGACATTCCTAGAACAGCATAGTTCCCTGTTTTATACTACAGTTCCCAATTTTCCTTTCATCCCAGTCTGGAGACTGTTTAGACCCATACGTCCCTCTTGTTTTAATTCTTTCTTTGTCTGTCATGCTGGCCTTGATAAATGTAAGAGATGGTATATATTTTCATTTGTCATCTATGCAGTGTGCTCCACTTAATGAATTATTCATGTGTAATATTATGCGTTGTAACATACTGTTTATGTTTTGACACATACAAAACACAAAAGCCATGCTTTTGTGAATCACAGGGAGAGGGTAATTTTTGTAAACAGACATTTCTTAAAGCAGCTTACTGTACTGTACTACTGTTAAAATGAGTAATAATCATGAGTTACACTACATGCTCTGTGGGTTGGTTTTCTTCAGAAGAATATTTCTGTCTCTTGGCATCTAAGATGTGGAGAGATGATCACTTATTTCGTATGCAAATTTTCCTTTATTTAAGATGGAGATGGTATAACTGAGCACTGCTGAAAACAACATCATGTGAAGTGATCCAGTATTAACAACAGAATAGGTATCTTGTGCTCTGCAGAAAATCTATCAATTTTTCTGCAGTACTACTCAGATACTACACAGCAGTCAACTGATGTGCAAATACCTGGAATGTTACCTGGTGCAAGACATTGTCCAAGCTTGGATCTAGGCAGAGAAGCTTACTAAATTAAAAATGCTTGGTTCAAACAAGTAATCTCATGGCAATGAGGATGCTCCTAGTCAGTTTTCTTCTGACCTTGTTTAGTGCAGTACCTCTTCAAAATGGGCTGGTAGGTTTTGTAAACACAGCTGCTCAGTTCTCAGTCACTCATTTTCATATTTGCTTAGGTGATGGTTTTTCAAATGCTGTAAGAACTGACAGCATTCTTAACGACATGGTCTAAGGGCCTTAAAGAACAGTGAATATGATTGAAACTTGATTCCCAAATATACAGCAGAGAGAGGCTTGTTAGCAGCAAGGGCTATGACCTAATGTCTGGAAGCCCCTTTTAAAAAGTGTTTCTAGAAATCCTGATGGTTTTTGTTGTTTGGGGTTTTTTTTAATTTCAAATTTAATTTCTGTTAGTTTGATACAGACAGAAAGTTTTTTGTTAGTATTAACCTTAACTGGACTTTTGAGTACAGAAATAAAATTAAAATGGCACACTAGGAATGATTCTGAGGTGATTTATGGTTGAGGAAAGGATGATAATTCTAGGTTTTGCTTGGTGTAGATAGCCAACCTGTTACTTTTCTGCTTGTTTTACTTCTGGCAAAGTGTTTTTGCAATGTGCTACTAATTATTGTATAATCTGCATGCAGGTGGCATAAAAAGAATTGATGGTACTATTCTGGCCACTGTTACATATTGATGATTTAGAGTTCATTGCTTTTCAACTACTGAACCCTTAGATACTTCCGTGAGGTTTGTGTACTTAAGAAACAAATGAGGTCTGTGGGATAGGAGTACCACACTGAGTTTAGATTTAATTGTTAAGGACCTTCCTTATATATGTCTGACATATGTAAAAGTGTAGGTATCCCAAGACTTCTGTCAAGACAGTGAAGGCCAATTGCTGGTTCGTATGTTCATATGTTCTTTTGCAGTTGCAGCTGTAAAAAGCTGCTTATTTACTATTGAAGTATAGGCTTCCAGAGTGGAATGAGTTGGTGGTAACCCTGCTCCTCAGCTGTTGCTCTTATTGTTGAAAATTGGATATGTAATATTAGCCAGTTAGTCCAAATATAATTCTGCTTGTAGGCAGTTGCTTATGCTTACCCATGTTGCTTCTTAGAGTAAATATTTACAACAAAAATAGTCAGTCAAGAATGGATATATTCACAACACTGGGGCCATGAAGCAGCTGAAGATGTTAGTGACCAAGTGCAATCCTTGAAATGATAAGATACAGTGCTTAAGAAAGTTCCATTGGTCTTTTTTGCTGATGAAGGCCAGCTGATTAGGTATACCTGCTTTCTCACTCAGCTGCATAAACACTTCTAGATGTAAGCAAGGCTCACACAGCTGTTGGCAAATCCCAGAAGGCCCATCTGACAGCACATTGTGCTTTTTTGAACTTCACACCTCAAATGGAATTAAGTAGGTCTACATGGAACTTTAACTCTGCTTTGTTCACTACTGTCCAGATTATTTTGTTGTGATTGAGTGGAAGTTAGGCAAATTAAGACTTTTTGCAAGGAGAGACCTCTTTTTTTCATATCAAAGCAGAACCTTCTTCATGCCTAGCAGAACATGGATGTATTTGAATCCATTTTATTCTTAGGTTTAGCTCTTTCCTGAAGACAGAAAGACCATTTGAAAGCTATTTGAAAACGTGTTTCAGAACCAGATGAAACTCTGGATAAGACATTGCTTTTTGTGTTTCACAGTTTAAGATTCTGTCATCTGTACTAGAACTGCACTGTTTTTGAATGCGAGTAATTTTGGAGTCATCAACTTAACTAGTAATTAAAGCTGTTCTTGCAGCTGTATATTTGTGGATGCCATGTCAGAGGAAAGGAAATATGCCATAATCTTCACCAAAGCCTGTAACAGAATGTGTAAAAATAGCAATTGGAATGTGTCAGTAGAGAAACACTATTTTTTTGTAATATCTTTCCCTTGCTGTGTATTATATCATGGGCTGCTTGCATTGTGAAGAAGACATTGTAGGGAAGGTGGAGTACGGGAGATGTTGTGCATCAGGTACAAAGTGTGGCTACAGAGTCTGTTACCCAATGTAAGTACTGATGTAATTGCTGGGTTACAGCATATATAATCTAGATGTCATTTGAATGAACAGGCACATTCAGCTTTCTTGAGCTTTTGTCAGAAGATCTAATGGCATCTTGCCCTTGAAAAAAGGGTTCAGTCCAGAATCCTTCTATCTGTAGACAATACAGCAGAAACAGCTTACAAAAAAAAAAAAAAAAGGTGTTTTTCCTCCCAACTATTATTTATTTCATATATTGGATGACATATGATCCTTCCCGTATGTTGACCTGCTTCTTTAAAACCCATTATTTATAGTGCATTTTCACTTCTTGGTTCTGAGAATAGCGTTTTCAAAATTCTGTGTGATACAAGGAAAATTTGACTTACATGAATAGTAAAAAATGTTAGCCTTTTAGATGATCTTGGAACTTGCAGGCAAGACAGTCTTGGGAGTTGTCTCGAAGAAGCTGCTTATGGATGTGCTTGTGAGAAAAAGGAAGAGAGGAAAGATGTTTATAGAAATAGAAGTATATTCTACAGACAGTGCTCTGTTATTCATCTTTATTGCCTTGCCAAAAGTGCAAATGATAGAAAAACTTTAAAGGAAAGGTGTTTACATGAAGATTTGTCTAGATTTGGCATGAAAAGAGATTTGCAAAAACTGATGGTGTTTAATAGGTGAAATAATGGTAAATTGTATTCTCAGTAAGTACTTCAGGGATGCTTCTCAACTCTTCTTGCTATATAAAAATAGTTTAGTCTCAAGCTTCCCATTTACAAGTTTGATAGCTGTAAGCAGTGTACAGGAGTAGGGATCTGCAATAAATGGAAAAGTAGTAATTTTTGTAACACTTTCAAGTAATGCAAGCAATTATTACTCCAGCATGAGCTGATAAATTGGAGGAACTGAAACTTACGGGGGGAAAAACTGGCAGAATGCATTCTGAATATAGCAGCTTCCATGGACATGTGAGGTACTCACAGCACACCCGTGAAGCTGTGCTGTCAGCATGTTGCAAGGCCTCAGAAGTGTCCAGGATTAGTTCTGGATTTTGAACTACCTGTGTACGGGCCACGTGTCGGATACTAAGGTAGCAATTTAAATAACCTCAGCCTGAGATAGGGTCTTAATCACTGAAGTATCCTCATAGTTTCTGTAACCTTTTTTTAATGTTTACATTTTTGTGTTTCAGAGATCCAGTTTACTTTGATGAAAATTGGCTGAACAGGATCAAAACAGAAGTAGGAGATAATTGGAGGCTAAAGGTATTTGACTTACTACGTTTGCCTGTGAATCTCTATTTCAGTTCTTAATATAAAATATATAATATAAAATATATTAGCATGTTTCTAGATTAAGACCTCTCTTTATAGTGCAGCATTTTGAGTTTTAAACCATTTTTATTAATTATGTTGAATTATTGAATTAAATTTTTTAAAATGCAAAGTGTGAAAGGAGCTCTGAGAAGCAGCTGCATAAAATAGCAGAATAATAATTTATTTAAATAAAATGGCAAAGTTTTGTTTCCTTTTACTTTGTCAGCTGTGTGGATTGTTTGCTTTAGGAGAGGAATTTGGTTTTTTTCTGTGTTGCTTGTACTCAGCATGTTTTTTAACCGCGGTCTATTTGCTGGGTCATTTGTATAACTTGGTATTCTAGTACTTTCTCTGCAAACCTTAAGGCAATAGGATTTACAGTGGTGCAACAGAAGAGCATTTTGATTTATAAAACCTGAAGAATATCTTCTAATATGTTAGTAATTTCTAATCAGTTTTCTTCAGAGAATGATACATGTACATTTCTAAATTGCCATTTCCAGCCTGATTACTTGGGGAAACAAAATAGTGATGGTTTGTCTGTTAGTTCAAATTTTCAATAAAACCATTTTGTTCCGGCTGCCACAAATCCTTGTGAACATCTGGGGAAGGGCCACAACTGTGAAATGCTCTAGTACTTAGAGGCTTATCAACATCACTGAATAGAAGAGACACACAGATGAGTGCTGCCTGGGACAAGGATGGAGCATACTGCTGCTTTATAAGTGTGTCTTGGCAAGCAGACTTGTCAGCATGATCTCTGCTGCTTGGTCAATTCTGTGCTGTTTTAGAATATTTTGTTGGTGAGGGCTGCTATAGAAAAGGTGGGTACCTTGATCAGGATATGTTCACAGACCGGCAAATAAAAAAACCTAAAAAAGTTTTCTTATTCTGCTGCTTGTAGAGCAGTTAATTTAAATTACCTTTTCAAAGAAGCACATGGAATTGCAAGTGAACAGCTGGTTACAACATATTATGGTTATTTTTCTCTAAAATATTTATGTGGCTTTTTTTCCGAGGAATATTGAAGTCTTGGTTGTTAAGTACAGAGAACCACAAACTAAGAACTGTTTGTTATAATTGCATTTCAGCTGATTGAAAATGGGGCAGCAACTCCTGTAACTCAAACAGAGCTTGAGGAGAATTTTTGTTTTATGTCTCCTGGCAACTTGGCATATACTAGGACTTAGCAGATGTAAATTTAGAAGAAAAAAAGACTGAGCAATTCAGTAACTTCCTTATGTGATTGAGGTTGAAAAAACATCACATAAAATTTCAGTTTATTTGTCATTCCCTCTTTTGTACATCCATATAAGTAAGAACCAAAGACTGAATATTTTTTTCTTTAAAAGAGATGTCTACCCTAGCTTTTTGTATATATTTTTTTTTTCTGCTTCCCTTTTCCTGAAGAATACCAAAAAGGCACAAATGTGGTATTTTAACTCTTATTTTGTAACCAGGGAAGTAACCCTATACTTTGTCAACTCTTCCTCTTCTTTTTGTGTGAGTAAATGCTGTTAGTAGTCCAGTTGTTCCAATGTCTGTCAGTCAATCCATCAATTTCAATATGATTTTTAGGAACATTTTCAGTCTGTGCACTTGTATGTGTTTGTCACTAGATTTAAAATGTAGGCAACAGACTTCTGTGTGTCTCAGTGATGTAGACTTTTCCTTCATATTTTAAGAAGCACCATGAGAAACTATAATTTGGTTATCTCACTACCCTACAAATAATGTTAGAAGAATGAATAATGTTTTTATTAGTTCTAAAACATGGTTGCTCTTTGCATCCGATATCAGTATAGTAGGTGAAATAAGTTCAAAAAACAACCCAAAATATAGTGTGCAAGTAGTTCTGCTATGTGGAACAGTGGGTAGGAGGGCCTGATAGAGATTAGTGAAGGCCTTCCTCCGCTAATGATACATCCTTCCTAACCAGTTGAAAGAGGTACTCAGAAAATCATGCAGTTGTTAGTTTTGGCTTGTGTGTTGTCCTGCATGGGGAATAAACTAGAGTATATGGGTCAGCTTGCATTATTTTTTTTGTTCAGCAATTCATTTTTCAATAACTGCAAGAATGTTGTCTTATTAAAAATATTTTACATGGCATACATCAGTGCACATAGCAGTATATGTTTTCCCTTGAGCAACAAAAAACCTAGTTTAAACCAAATATACATGCTGAAGAAGACAACATTTTGAAGATAAAATGGCCTTTATTGAAAATGGGAAACAGCATACAAAATAATTGTGTTGACAAAATTTTGCAGAAATGAAATTCCCTAATCAAGAAACAAGAATAGTTCAATGTCAAGTCATACAGGAATACCAGTAACAGAACCAAAATTTAAACAGTTAATGAAGTGATAACAAGCATTTAATTTTTGGCAATTACAGAATAGGTTGTTGACTATCTTAGGGATGGGGTAAAACTGACACTGTTTTTTCCTTCCTTTCATTGTGGTTGTACCTAGCTTGGGAAAGGAAGGATATACATTGTTCAGCTTGATTTCTGACTTCAGGACTTTTTTTTTGGCATTCAGACTACAGCAGAAGTACAGTTTTATCAATGTTTATAGCAGCAGGCTGTGTTTGTTCCATTACTGAACAGTACATTTAAACAATAGGCACCACTAGACTTTCTGCAGCTAGTACAGTTTGAATGTCTTGTGTTTGATACAGTATTGCAAAATGGAATAGTAAATTAAATTAGAGTACAGACTCCTTAGTGCTGTAACCTAAATAAAGCAAGCTGATTTTTGAGAATTGGTTTTGACTCTGCAGTAATACAGTTATGTTTGCTCAACAACTTCTACAAGACAAGCTAGATTGACTAGTGGAGTAACGGAAGCTGGTTTTCAGTGTCTGGTATAGCTTTTCTGCTACTTTCTTGTTCCTTGGCATACGAAGAGAACACTTATTCCTTAGCAGTCTTTTAAAGGTGTTTTTTCTGTGTGAAAGCCTCTCATAAAAATGTTTTTCTGCAAGGAAGAAGGGAGTATAGACGTATTTTAAGACAGCATTCATTTCTATCAAAAAGATAAGTAGCAGCCGATCTATTTAATTCTGTTTCAATATACCCCTAATTCCTAAATCAACAGTGTCTCCAAACATAAGTTAAATGTGTTGAGCCCCATTCAGTTATTTTTTTCTTGTAATTTAACTCAAGGAAGGGACTTCTTTTGAGGATTTCTTTTTGCAGGAGACAGAGTGGAGGGGGATAACCCCTAAAGCTAGTGATATAATATCTAGGCTCCATTTATAGTCAGTGAAGAGAGAGGCTCCTGCAGAATGCAGTTTACTGCAGAAACCTAATGTATGTGTTGGGAATGACACACGTACATTCACCCTTCCCTCCCTGCCTCCTCTCCCGCTTTTAAGTGCAGCAGATGATTGATTAAGAATTCTCTCACCACTTCCAAGTGTGCCCTAACAACACAGAGGTTGTAAGGTTCTTAATTACAACCTGTGAGAAGGGAAAATAGGTCTGTGCATAATTACCCAGGAAAAATACTATTGAACAGCATTTTGGAACATTAAGGCTCCCATTCAGACACTTCAGGACCTGAAATTTAGAAGGATCAGTTTGCACAGACTTTTCAGCACAAACAGGTTTTCAGTCATACATGTGTTAGAAGAATAAAGGCAAAATTGGGGACTGGCTGTTACGAGGTTAGAGAGAAAGGTTGGATAACCCATGCTCACTTTTTGCCAGCAATCACAAACTTCAGGGCATTTCTGCTCTCCACTTCACTAGGCTGTCCTTTTGTTGCTCAAGTATATTTGTAAAGTAAGAAGTCTGGACAGACTGCTGTTTTAGGGGTTTTGTGTGATGACTGAGAAAAAGAAAAAAAGGAGAAAAAGCCAACAAACATTTAAGTTATATGGTGTTGTCAGACCAGTAACCCAGCGTACATCATCTCTGTTTTCATTCCAGTCATCCGGTTAACACTGTGTAGTAAGGGTCATACTGAACAGTGTGTGCTAACTATGTAATACTATACTACAGTCAAGATGGTTGTAAACTGAGAGGGTAATGGTCATTGAACATCAGGAACATCCACACAGCTCTGTGTGTTTATTACTGAAGTTTAGGTGTCCAAAAATGAACTATAACATGCCTTTGTGGATGCTTTAGTTCAAAGTGGGTGTCTTCTCCTTTGTAATATAATATGGGGGAAACGACAGATGGAAAAGAGAAAATTAATAGAGAGTAATCTAGAAATAATAATCCATTTATTGCAAGTTGCAACAGCTTTTGAAGTGGAATAAAGTGTAGTTGTAACTTTTTTTTTTCACAGTAAGTTTCATGTCTTTTACAACAGAGGTATAGGTGCAGGGCATGGATGTGAAATGGGCTGGGAGGGTATTGTATGTGCTTTGAATGGAAAAGGAGGAAGTCAGGTTGCTGATGCAAGCAAGTAAGCATCCCATGTGATTGTGGGTTGTTCTCCAAAGGATGATACAGTGCTTTATAGTCATGATTGATATTAGAAATTCTGTTGTGTTCTGCCACTGCATAATGGTCTTTTGTTAAGTAGTTTTAGTTAGGTTTTGCTCATTTGCATAAGAAAAATGATTTTAAAAGAAATTCTGAGCAACCATCACCTGCTTTTATTTAGAATTCTGATGTAATGTGTTGTCTTTAACTTTTTTTTTTCTTTGCTGTTCGTTTATATTCATCTCTGTTTGAAGTATTCCTTTTAAGAACTTCTGCTATGACCTGACAAAAGTTACTGGAGCTATTTAGTTGAATTTCAAAATAGAAAACCTTTGTGGTAGCTTCCCATGGTGATTCTCTGCCAGTGGCAGTAGAACCATCTAAGTGTATTCACTGCAGACACGTTTAAAAAAAAACCCAACAAATCAAAAGCCCTTGAATTAATACTGAAGATCATTGTATCTGCCATACAATCAGACAGTTATAAGGCTAAAGTAGCATCTTTATGGACTGGCTTAAGCTTAACAAAGATGGTAGAGTTAACTGCTAAAAGCAAGTTATCCTAGTATGGCTGATTGACAGTGGAATAAAATGAGACCTCAAATACAAGGTTGTTTTTTTCCAGTTTGCTTGCTGTTTTCTTTATCCAAGGATGCTGCCCTATGTGTTACTTTTGATGACAGATTCTGATCAATACTGATTTTATTCCAACATATCAGGTCCAAGATCTATGAAAGTTATAGGGAGGAAACTGACTCTGAGTTTAAGGGGGTTTATTTCAAACAATGCTTAGAAGGAAAGGGCAAAAGGTTTTTTTAGGCAGGTACTTCAATTTTGTTTCTCTTATTTTGGGATTATGTTCAAGTTCAAGGTTCCTCACAATGTTCACATCGATAAGCTGGACTTAAATTCTGCAACATGACCTTTGGGTTTCTGTGGCACTTTCTGCAGCAGACTCAGGTAAATTACAAACTGGAAAATTTTAATGAATGAAGTTTGAAAATTATATTCCAATCAATGCAGTAATCTTGGTGATTTGACGTAAAAATCTAATTATTTCCATTTCTTTAAATTCTTTAATCTGTTGCAGACTTTGGTTATGATTGTGCCTTTGAGAGGTGGTGGCCATTGCTTTGGGACAAAAGGCTAGAAGGCTATTATGCTGTTATGGGAGAGACAGTGAAATGTTGCTATATACATGCTATCAGGTAGCATCTCCAGATCTCATTCTAGATTGTCAGAATATTTGATGTGTGTGGATTTACCAAGTCAAATTGAATTTTTGTTTCTTGTTATGACTTGAAGTTCCATGATTATGAAGACAATCAGGGTGTTCTTGTATCATAATAAGTGATCATAATCTGCTTTTGCCACTTGTGTCCAAAAGGGAGAGGATTAATAGGAATAAGGTAATCAGATCATTTCCACTTCGGATTTCATGGCTAAATCTTTTAGAATGTGTGTAGCCTGTTCCTCTCCTGAGTGCCTTTTAGTAAGAGCCTAGATTTTGCTTTCATCACCTCATTTTGTCTCAGTACTGTGTTGTTGTTTTGCTTTCCTGTCTCCTCTTTTCTATAGTGTTTCCTCACATTTTTTGGCACATAGATGGCTTCTGTCAGTGGATAGAGTTTGCTAGCTGAATATTTTTGGAGTGTAGTCAAGAATATAGAAGTTCTTACAGGCTTTAAAGACAGCTGGGATTTGAGAAATTTTGCTATCCCTTCATTATAGTTCTAGTTTGCCACTGTGGCTACTGTTCTCATCAACAATTTGTGAATGCTAATTCAGTCAGGTTCAGCATTTGCAGAACCTGTTTATAGACTTCACAGAATTATGTAGGTGAAAAAAGACCCTTAGATCATTTGAGTCCAACCCTTAACCTAAGACTACCACATACACCACTAAACCATTTCCCTAGGCGACACATCTATAAGTCTTCTACTTCCCTAGTCAGCCTATTCCAATGCTTGACAACCCTTTTGGTGAAGAATTACTTCCTCATATCCAAAATAAACCTCCCTGGGCAGAGCTTGAGGATATTTTCCTCTCATCCTACCACTTGTTACTACAGAAATGAGACCGACACCCAGTTTGCTGCAGCCTCCTTTCAGGTAGTTTTAGAGAGTGGCAAGGTTTCCCCTCTGCCTCCTTTTCTCCAGACTAAACACCCTTGAGTTTCCTCAGCTGCTTCTCTGTCACAGGAGATGGTGCACTGCTACTACTATCTAAATTCTTTGCTTAAATACTTGGACATCAAGTGTTGGGAATCTGTAGCAGTTACTTTTAGCAAAGATACCTCTTTTTTTCTAAATATCACCTGTGAGATCCACTGGGCATTTTTTATGGTTTTTAAATGTAGTCTTTATCTCGGAGACTTGATGTAAATGGATTTTTGCTGGAAAGAAAACAGTGCTTAGTACTAGAGAAATGTGGCTTAGATTCCATACAGCAGGAAACACATAACTGATGCCATTGGCTATGCAAGTGAACAGAAACTACCTTTGTATGGCAGTGAAGGCATTGCTGAGAAATGTGAATTTAGCCTAGATACTGTAAGACAGACATTGAATTGATAAGAACTGGGAGAAGAGCAAAAAGGACCAAGAGGCATAATTAATGAGAAAGTTGATAAATTTTGCTTTACATAAGTTGGCAATAATGCAGCATATTGAGCAGTAGCTGGTTTTGCTGTGGAAGAAGAGGTTTATCTCTGCAGAAAGTAGGTCAGTAGGATACTGTAAGAGAAGACAGGAAGAAGATAATGTGTCAATTTCTAGATAATCCCAAAATAAATAAGTACTCTGAAAAATATTAAAGCTTTAGAGTCTGATCTAAAGCCTATCCATGATAATGTGATGGTTTTCGTATATTTAAATGGCTTCTGTCAATTAGTAAAGATTTGTCATCTGATCTGAAAGCCTGATCATAATGGGCTATTGCATAAGTTTCATGATTCTAAATTAAACTGCTGAAACAGTAAGTCTCATTGTGCAAATAGATTTAATCATACTATTCTTTTGTGTGATTCTTCTGTGATTGCCTATTTTATGATCACTTATCTGTAATTTATTTTCTACATTTATTGTGTTTCTTTCTTCTTCTTGTTAAATAGGTAAGCAACCTGAAGAAAATTTTAAAAGGAATACTGGATTATAACCATGAGGTAAGAACCATTTTAGGTAATCTTCATCTACATTCCTTTTTTGTTACATATTTTACTTAACCTATAAACTATATTCTACTGACTAAATTATAAATATAACTATAAATTATATGCTACTAACTTTTTCTTGGAAATTATTTAACATACGAAGTGTTTCAAGGCATATTCTCAAGTGTTAGCCTTCTCTACAACTTCTCACCTGCTTTATTGAATATCCAGAGCTTCCAGAGAAGTCTGGTGTGCAAATTCTGTCATACATGCAGTAGATGTCTTTGCTGACTGTGTTCTCATGAAGAACTTTAACAGTACTTGTATCTCTTTTTTTTTTTTCCTCATCCTCTGCTCCAGCTAAAGATGCCTCTGCTTATTTTTTCCTGTTGAGGAGAGAGAGGAAAGAGCATTTTAGTCTCTCCCCACATTAAAATTTTCAATGAAATTATTTAATCCTTTTATATTGGAGTTTGTTCTTTCTTAGGCTGTTGAGCAAACACAAATAAACAACTCCAGGGGAGATGCAATACAGATTGTTTGTTTTCTTTCAGCTGAAATATGCTTTCAGTTTCAGTGATGTTTTGAAGCAAGTTAATCTGTACTGGCTACACCACAAAATCAGTAATATGTACATTCTGGACATTATTTGTCTCAAAATACTAGCTTCTCACAAATACTTCTGACAGGAAGACAGGTGTTAACAAATAGAAGTCTTTAAAAATAACAGCTTTTTGGAAAGAAAAAGCTAGACTCATAAACTCATATTCAATAAATAGTCAGGTATCCATGTTGAAATAAATTTTGAAAAGAGATGGTTAAGCAAGCTGACCATAACTGACAATTCTAGAAAGGAAGAATTTTTTATAGAAAAGTAATAGTACTATGATAAAGTAATGCCGACTTCTTTTCAGCTAGTTGGTATGTATGATGACTAGGTTTCTGGTGTGAAAAATTTACTCCTAAGAAAGTTTGCAGCTGTTTCAAGCTGAGTAAGTTCTGCAGAGGTAATGCACATTTATAAGTTTGACTGGATTTTGATCTGGTTTCCTTTTTTTTCTGCTGAGGCAATGCTTGTGGTGATAATGGAGATTATATGGATTCTACTGTGAATCTTGGTTATGTTTTCCTCAACCAGATTCCTTTTCCTAGCAGTCACCTTCTACAAAAATGTAGATGTAGATGTGTATAGATTTTACCTAATGTATCTAAAAGCCTTTAAAAAATGTATTTGCTAATTTTGTTCATCTTCATAAGTTCAGAAATTTGTATCACATTTACAAGGACAGTCTTTCAATAGTTATCCTACATTGCTGTCTTTGTCAGTTATAGTGTGGAAGAACAAGAAGCAGAAGTTACCTTTTTTATAGCTTGCATGCTTTATTATGCTGCAATAATCTTTCTGCAGAAGGTGCATTCACAGAAATTCTATTTTCTCACTAGAATGTCCAAACAGAGGTATTTTCCAACAACAATTAATCTGGGTCTTTTAAACGATATAGAGAGTTTTACTAGTGTTGGTGCTTATTCTTTGATAAAGCTGTTAAAAAAAAATAAAATAATTAAAATTCTGCAACACAAAAAACATACAAAACAAGAACAAGCCCAACCACAGCAATTGCACAAAGCCTAATCCTGGAAAACTTTTGAATGGCTTGATTTCCATGTATTCTTCATATACATCTGTTAAACTTTCTGTATAAACACCTTTACCCGATTTTCTGTTTTTCTAGATTGTTAACATGAAAAAGAGCATCCAGCAAACAAGTGACTGATTCCCTCCATAGTCATTTCTTTATTGCACCCTGCTTAAGAAGTGACAGTTTCTTTTTATCTGCAATTAATGTGTCAGAGATGTATTTAATTCCGTATTCCATGTTCATATTTTCAGCCCCCTGAGAGCTCTTAATGAACAATTTGGCAGAACTGTTTAATTCCTTCTAATGACAATCATTAATGTAAATCCTTCTTAATTATAAATCACATTACATTAATTTTAAGTCACATGGCTTTTTTGGTTTGGGTTGTTGTGGTTTTTTCCTGCATGTGGGCTGTTTAATGATGTATTGTACTACTACCTCAAATTCTCTTCCATGAAACTAACTTTCTTAGCTGTGAGACTTCCTAAATATCCCTATATTTTCCAAAAGTGTGAGGAGGAGTTTTTTACTGTCTTACATTTGTCATCCATCAGTGCTAGACGTGTGTATTGGATAAGTGAAATATTTCAATTTCTGGCTTTTGTAGTGGTAAGAAATGTGAGATTTCAGGTGTCAGATTTTTTTCGGTGTCATATTTAAAAAAACATAAATTAATTATCTATGTGCTGTTAGTCACTGTGGAAGCCTGTCTTTGTTACCTTCCTTAATTGAAGGAAACAATCTTGTTATGTTTGAAACTAATATTTTCTTATTGGTTGGTACAGTCAGGTTTGTCCTCTTCCAAATATTAATTATGTCAAGCAGTATGGTTTAATTTTGGATGTTGGGTCTTAGTTTCCTTCATTGTAAAGGTGGAATGAAAACTATGATAAAGTACAAGTGAATTGCTCTTGCTGATTCTGAATCATCTTTGTATTTTGAAATGTGTGTGTATGTATATGTGTAGTGATACAGACGTGTATGTACTGGCTCTTTATGCAGATTCTAGGGCAACAGATTAATGACTTCACCCTTCCTGATGTTAACCTGATCGGAGAGCATGCTGATGCTGCTGAGCTCGGGAGAATGCTTCAGCTGATTTTGGGATGCGCTGTTAATTGTGAACAGAAACAAGGTATTAAATTTTGAAAAGATATTTTCTCCTAGACAGTGAATGAAAATCAAGATTGTTCTCTAACTACTTAAGGGGAAAACGGTATTTCTCATGCCGCTGTCAGAGACAAATGTGTTTTTTTTCAGTGATTACATTGCTTTCTCCTACAGATAATAACTGTTTTGTTATAAGCTTCATTAGTTTTGGAGTTTCAAACTGTGGACCTGGTTTTGCTTCCAACACATACGTATTTCAATTTTTGTTTGCTGAGCTGAAAAGGCAGTCCACAAAGGAAAATTCTTGGCCCCGCCCTTTAACCATTGTTGAGGTAGATTAGGTTAGTTTAGAGACAAAAAATGTGATTGTTGCAGTATCCTGTGTGACTGTTGGTTTTAGGAATGCGTTCCAGTCACCACCTCACTACATGGCTGAGAGCCATCAATATGAGTGGGGATTGGTCTGAAGATGTGTCTGGTGTGATCTGGGATACTGTAGTTCTTGAGGCTTTTGCATGGGGTTGGCAAATAGGGAAGAGTATTGTTAACAGCCATGCACTTCTGGACAGCAGCTGAAGATGGAGCATGGTGTGTCAAGGGCATCCAAAATGTCACTTGAGGCATCCATAAGACAATTGAATCCCACTTCAGCAGTAGGTGAAAAATAATTCTGCCTCTCTTGACTCCCTTGGCACCAACTGTCTATCAGACCTGCACAGGTGAAATAGGGATCCATTTTTCCTGCAAATGCCACAGAGCTTGTGAGTAATAGAGACGCTTGTTGAAGTGTCCCAGATGTCATGCTCTTAACTTGCCTTAGATACAGATTATCTTATCATTACCCAGTTACCTTAAATTACACTTAATTAAAGCCAGGTTAAGTTAACAAAGCAACTACAAACACATTTTCATAACACTTAAGACTGGAAGCATAGGAACATGTTTATAAAATACATGTGAGTAAATGAAACTGTGCTTACTGTATTTACATTATAGTTGCATCAAGTACCTGTCTCTTCCTATTTTAACTAATTCTGGTTTACTTCCTGACAAAATTGCAGCCAGGATTTCAGAACTTTTGTCTTCCTCTTGCATGGTACATCCTAGCTGATTTCTCCTTTCCAATTTTCTCAGTAGTCTAAAACACTTTAATTTCTCATTCTGAAATTAACTTTTATTCTACCCTTAATCAGGAGACAGTCTGGCTGTCCTATTAATTAAAATAAACTTAATGTTCTTCCATAAGTACATTAAAAACTCTTTTTATTAGACCTGTCCTCTCTGTTCTGTATAAAATTATCTTCCTTTTGGTGACAATGTGGCATCCTCAAGTAGGCAGTGTATCTTACTTCCTGCCTTTCTCTTACCCTCTCAGTCTGAATATTAAAAGCATACATATTTGCAATATTGAAATAGTCTACTTTTATGTACTTTGAGTGAGATTGGGCATGACATAATTAACCACTTTGAGGTGACTGATTCCCAGCATCTTCCTCTTGGGCAAACTGGTAAAAGAATACAGGTCTCATTCAAAATCTGTCATGTCTGACTGGAAACCATATGATGCTGAGCATGTCATAAACCACTTGACTTGGTCTAAATTTCAAGAATTGTCATCTTAACCTCCATATCATCTTGTAAGTTACCTGTTGTGTAGCTCACATCTGCTCATAGGAGAGAAATGAAAAAGTGGGGTGGACATATTTGTGATATAGCACAGAAATAAGAACAGAAACCAAGGATAGATATGAAAATGCCTTGAAATGAGGATGCTGTAGGAAGGTGGGTCATTATTGTTAAACTTGCAACCTATGCATGGATCATGTCCTTGTACATCATTAATAATTTGGGAACAAATTGAGAAAAGGAGTATAAGTAGTTATTTCAGAAATGTGAGATGCCAGAAGGAAAAAAAAAACATTATTACAGTCATAGGCTTTTCTCATTATTGCAGTATTCCAGTGAGACTGAATTTATGTTTGGACAGGCTTCTGATAAAGTCTTGTTGAATTTTTGGGGGGTGGGACTTAGCTGGTGACTATGCATTTCAGTGTAATCTCTGACAGCTAGTCATTTTGTAGGAAGAATGCAGCTTCTGACCTCATGTTCTGTGCGACTCGAGTTTCAGCAGTAACATCTCAGAATGCTCTTATTTTCAGAGTACATCCAGACCATAATGATGATGGAAGAATCAGTTCAACATGTTGTCATGACAGCCATTCAGGAGGTATGCTGGGATGCTCACAGTGTGTAGAAGTTCAGCCTTTCAGTATTTTCCTACTTTGAAAAGCTTAGTTGGAAGTAAAGAACATTAAGGATCATAGACTTTGGTATTTTACATTGAAAAACATTAATTTGTTGGTAGACAAACAATTCAGTAAAAGCTCACTTTATGTCAGGGAACTCTGAATGTCCCACTTTTCTTTAAATCTAGAAGATTGAAACTTCTGGATATTTTTGATACTGGGTTCCCTTTCCTTTTCCTTTCCCACCCTTTGACTCCCAAAGTGCACTAGAGTGCTTTTATGTGAGTAACCAAACAGTATAGAATTTCTTCAAACATTATACCTTGAAACTGCAAAAACTCCATGAGCTGGTAATTTTTATTTTTTTTACTAGACAAGTGGAAAGAAAGAGATGGATAGCAGAGTATTCTTTTGTCAACTGTATTGTTATGAACAGGCTAATCAAGGTATTTCTGCTAAAATGTTTTTACAAGCTAGTAGTAAGTATGTTGCAGTGTATTTTATGGAAGTGCTGTTCAGTAGCAAATTTAAAGCCACAGTGAAAATCAAGCCATGCTGTTGGTGACCACTGAAGACATGAAGCCTCCCTGAGCCATCTTAGCAGCCTGATGTGTCCTTAAGTGAACTGCATATCAGTCTTCAAACATGGAGGTTTACTGCAGGGCCAGGCCACTAAAGAAGGCAGGAAATCACTGGTAATTCCATTTTTTTCCAAACCTGAACAAGAGAAACTAAATTCACATTGAGCTCTAGAGCAATTTCACTTTCCTGTAATGTCTTGAGTAGAGCAAGAGGTGTCAGTGAGCCTACAGAATCCCTGTCCCCTGTTATCACTTTGACCCATGCTGTATCCATACAGTCATACATCCTGTTGTCTGGGTGGACAGCTATCTTTAACATTGCAGAGCAGACACTTGAAGTGAGCATTGAAGGAATCATAATGTTAAATCATCTTCTAGTCAGTGCTGCTAAGCTCAAGTTTGGTTTTTTTTTCTTTCAGCAAAGCTTTTGGTACTATGCTTCACAGCATCCTTCTCAACAAAATGTCCAGAATACAGCTAAACAAGTCCATAATTCTTTGACAAGTTTACTGAACAGTAGGGCTCAGAGTTACAGTAAATCAGTTTACATCAGGCTGGTGGCCAGTCACCAGTGGGGTTTTCCAGAGGTCAATTCTAGGGGCAGTGCTTTTTAGTGTTTCTATAGATTATATGAATTCAATAATTGAAAGTACATTAAGCAAGTTTGCTGATGATACTAAACTAGGAGGAGCTGTGAACTCCTTTGAATGTAGAGTAGCCTTACAGAGACATCTGAATAAAAAGCTAGACAGTCTCCAACAGTATGAAGTTTACCAAGAGTGAGTGCTGGACTCTCCATTTGGGATGTGGTAATCCTGGTGATACATATAAACTATGAAACAAAAGGCTAGAGAGCAGCCCTGTAGAAGGAGGTCCAGGGGCTTGGGTTGATGGCAAGCTGGCTCTCAGTCAACAGTGGGCCCTGACAGCCAAAGGGTCAACTGTGGCCTGGTATGCATCAAACACAGCATAGGTAGCCAGTCAAGGGAGGTGATTGTCTCACTATGTACTGAAATGGTGTGGCCCCACCTTGAATAGCATGTGCAGTTTTGCACGCCTTAATATAAGGACATCAAACTATTAGAGTGTGTCCAGACAAGGGCAACCCAAATGGTAGAAAGACTGGAGGGCAAGAATTACGAGGGAATGGCTGAGGTTACTTGTTTTGTTCAGGTTGGAGAAGGCTGAGGGGGAGACCTCATCCCAGCCTACAACTTTCTCAAGATGGGAAGTGGAAAGGGAGGTGTTGATCTCCTCTCTCTTGTGACCAACAATAGGAAATGGACACCATCATTTGAGAGGGTGGTGAGTCACTGAAACAGGCTCCCCAGGGAAAGTGGTCCAGGAACCAAACCTGTCAGAGTTGATGGAGCATCCACACAATACTCTTAGTCATGTTGTTTAGTTTTAGGTAATTCTATGAGGAGAACTACCTCATTAAATCAAACTTCACTGGATTTAAGGAATTATTTATTTCTATTTCTTGAACTTAGAACAGTTCTCAGGGTCCAAGTGACTTGGAATACATAGGAGACACCAAAATAAAGTGCCTAGGAAAGTAGCTATATATGCATATTTGAAAAGTTGGAATATCACCTAATCCAAACATTTCAAAGCATTTAAAATCCAGATGCTCTTTCTTCCAAGTTAGGTATGTAAAAGACCTCTCTAAGCTTTACTGATGTATTATGTAATTAATTTTTCTATTTCAGCAAAGCACATATAAATGTTTTTGATGCTTTTTTGGTTTTCAGAGATCATCTTATGTAAAATATTTCATGAGGCACAGTAGATCAAGCCTCTGCCCTGCTTTCTCCTTTTGGCCTGAAGCTGATTTTTAAATGGAAGGAACATTTTGTTTTCAGTTTTATTCCTTAGCTGCTTAATGTGTAGATGTGCATTTCTAAGTACAAGCTGTGCACAAGATAGAAAAAGAGCAAGACTTATTTAGTTATAAAAAATACTGCAAACATACCACATACAATTATAAATTATGTATTCTATATTCTCTAATAAGTACTCCTGTATTCTCTTTATATTATTGTAAATTATTCTTACTTAAAATTAATGTGTTACTATGTATAATGTAACATATTTTAAATATAATAATTTTTCACATTGTTTTAAAAGCCACAGATCTTTACTACAGACATTATTTTGGCCGTTATGTATTTCCCTTTTCTTTTTCCTTTCCTTGACATCCTCTGGAAATTCTGTCATTTTTCCTAGTCTTTTCTTTGAGCAGCCAAGTTGATTATCAGTGAAGCTGTTAGCGGGGGTAAATTTTTTCCTTTGCTGTTTAGAAAGTCTCTAAACTTGAACATTTAGCATGTGTCTGTGTAGGTCAAGCTGGGAGTCAGAACAGGCTCCTGACAGCAAAGTACTAGAGGTAAAGTCAAAGCTTGCTGAGGGTGCATAACAAAAGCTACTTCCTGTCTGTATTAATATCAGCTGTGTTACTTCCACCAAGTAGAAACTGTTTGTTTTTGGGGTTTTCTCCCCTCTGTATTTTGTCCTGACTGTTTAAAGGTTCATCTTGTCTGAAGTAGAAGTGGCTTTTGAATAGTTAGCAAATTAGAGAAAACCATTTCCTTGTTTCCATCAACATACTGCAGGAGGAAGAAAGTCCAACTGCAGTAAAGGGTACACACTCTGTCATACACATTGAGGATGATGAGACACTGGCACAGGTTACCCAGGGATGTTATGGATGTCCCTGGAAGTGTTCAAGGCCAGGTTGGATGGCGCTTTGAGCTACCGGGTCTAGTGAGAGGGTTCCCTGCCCATGCAGGGAGATTAGATCTAGATGATTGTTAAGGTCCCTTACAACTCCAACCATTCTTTGATTCTATGATACATAGCCTTGACTCTTAAAAAGCGAACAAACAGGAAGATGTTTTGAAAAAGAAAAGCAACCTTCTTAATGCAGAAGCTGTTTTTTTACATTGTTTCATGAGCACTACAATGAGCTTGTACAATATTAGCAACTGTAGAAGAGGCATTTTAGATAAAGCAGATGTTTTGAACTTTTAACATAATCAGCTAAGTGGTGCAGCTGGTG